GTGGGGGGAGGGGAAGGTTATTTGTTGCGTATGGATGTAACGCCGGTTAGGGTATATTCAATAAGCAATACCCTCGTTTGTAACGTCCATTTCCGACAAGACAGAGCCGAAATAAGCTACCTCAGAAATACAATGTTCTAGGCTGTTTTGAGCTGCTGAGACCATGATATCAGAAACCAAACGTTCTATCTGTCCTATCAAAACCGTTAGATTATTCGGAGTCGTTTTCTGGATATTCAAAGAATCACATTCGAAATAGCTTAACCTTGTCGTGAAACTCCAAATGTTTAACTTCAAATTTCTCAAAACTAGACATTGGTAGATAGAACTTTGTGTAATTCTAGGGTAGTGAAATGGGAGTAGAGCTAGACAACCACCATCACTCTAAACAGTTCAAGGTGTTGCAAATAACTGTGAGGTGTCCCGAAAAAATGAGTTACTTCTTTCGGATTATAGCCGTATGGAAATTGATATCAACATTATAGGTGGTATTTATACAATTTGTTTAAAAAATGTATAAGATTTTATGTGTGGTAAATCTTTTTGAAGAGATTGGTAGTGACAAGATAAGACGGCTACTCCTGTGACGCCACACGAAGGCTGCCGTCGACGGAATGTGCTGAACTGTGGTCAGAAAATCCAAACATGCTGAAACGGCCCGCTTGGCCTCTCGATTTAGCAGTTTTTCATCCACATATGTGGTTCTGCTGCCAGGCTTGCCTTTCCTTTCCGAACCTTCAGTTTGGAACGTTTATGTGTAGCCGCCTTTTTTTAAAAGGTTTAACTTGAGGTTTTACGGCGCTCACAACTGCATAAGGTCATATGAGCGCCAGAAGCTTAGAGGTGTTACAAGAGAGTAACAAACATAAAAAAGAAAAAGGGGAGAAAAGGACGATAGAAGTTTCATAGGAAAGAAGAAGCAAACCACACTAGAGCAACCGCCAACCATTCACATATCGTTCGTTGTCTGTATACTCACTTGACGAAAACATCTTGGCCCTCTGCGAACATCTGATAGACATCGCCGTCATCCGCCCTGAAGGAGTTTCCCTCTGCGTCACGAGAGAAGGTCAGTTCGGGTACCAATGGCGTCATCACTGGAAAACAAAACGAAACAAGGTCAAAAAAAAAAAAAAACACACCAAAATG